GGTCGAAAGAGAGATGGAAGAATACACTACAAATTAGGAAGCACAAAGCCAGGAAGAGAGGTTGCAGCTGGGTTCTATCAATAATAGGCAATCAAATAACATTTCTCAGACCTAGCTAACACAGCAACAAGAGCCAGCATATATAAGGGATAGGTGGGCTTTTAGGTTAAACAGTAGTTAGGCCTAAGAGTTAATATGTAGTGAATAAATGCGTTATCAACCAAAAGCCATCCAGGAATTATGGGTCTAGCCATGAGTAGCTCTAATTAAATTAGACGACTTCAAATGACCCAAATATGTTATAGGTTTAGGTCGATACAATTGTAGTGTCGATATTTTACTTCAGTTATTGGTCAATGCCGACTGAATAAGTAATGACTTAACATCATTGCCCAAGAAGTCATTTGACAACAATTTGGCTAACAGATTCAACACACCAACGTGTTCAATCAGATTATCAATGATCTATTGCAACTTGACATCAAGTTCGATGAAGAAGACAAAGGGAATAAAGAGTCTCTCGAATTGGAGGAAGTCTCATTAGCTCTGTTTGCCTACAATAAGCTAAAATTGTGTACTAGTAAAAGTTTACAGGGTGAAAGGTTGATCGTGAAAGGGTACCTGGATTGTGGGAAAAAGAAGGACATTGGTGGTTTTTACAAAGGGAATACGAGATCGAAGTCCAGAAATCAAAACAAGAAAAATGTCAAGTGCTAAAAGTGCCATCACATGGGTCACTTTAAGAAAGACTATCTAAATAAGATGAAAACAAAGGTAATGGGTCTTCAAACCTGGCTAGTGTTGCAGAAGGAGATTCAAATTCTGGAGATGGAGATATGCTATCAATCTCTACAGGTAATTTTAATGGATTACATGACTCTTAGTTACTTGATTCAACCTGTCCATATCACATGCCCATAGGATTGGTTTGATTCCTATCGTTCACGTAATTGAAGATCTATTTTGATGAGTAATGATACATCATGTAAGTTCATTGAATGAGTTCTATAAAATTTAAAATGTTTGATGGTGTGGTGATGAAGATTTTAAAGGATGTTAGGCATGTATAGAGTTGAGAAAAAGCCTAATTTCTTTAGGGACTTTATACACCAGTGGCTATTCTTATTAGTCAAAGTGTGGGGTCCTGACAGTGAAGAAATGTGCTATGATTGTGATGAAAGGTCAGAAATTGGTAGAGAATATTTACAAACTATTGGGGAATACAGTTGTAGGTGGAGTTTCTACAGTGGATCAGATGACACTTTCTTATGACATATACGATTAGGGCATATAGGAGAACGTAATAGATTGAGCTTTACAAGAGGAATTTGTTGAAGGTAGTAAAATCATGCAAGCTGGATTTCTACAAGTTTTGTCTTCTTGGAAAATAGTCCAAAGTACACTTCAAGACAAGAAAGCACAAGATAGAAAGCATTTTTGATTATGTGTATGCATTTGGGGACCAATGATGGAGTTGTCAAAAGGTAGATCTTAGTATTTCATTACTTTCATGATAACTTCTCTTGAAAAGTCTCGGTGTATTTCATGAATTACAAGTCTAAAGCCTTTGTCGAGTTCAGATTGTGGAAAATAGAGGTAGATAACCACACGGGCAGGAAAATTAAGTAGCTTAACATAGACAACTGTACAGAGTACACAAATTCACATTTTCTGAAATTATGTGAGGAGCATGATATTCAGTGACATTATAAAGTTCGATAGACACTATAGCAGAATGGGGTAACATAGAGGATGAACAAAGCGATTGCAGAACAAACAAGATGTTTGAGGTGAACTATAGGGCTTCCAAAGAGTTTTTGTGCAAAAACAGTAAACATGACATATTATGTCATAAATATATCACCATGGACAGCACTAGATGAGAAAGTTGCAGAGGAAGTTTGGACAGATAATGAAGTTTATTATTCTAGATTGAGAACATTTGGGTGTCTGACTTATGTACGTTATCTAGTGATCAAAGATCCAAACTTGATCTGAAATCAAGAAAGTGTATTTTCTGGGCTATGTGAAAGGAATAAGATGGTACAAATTTTGGGATCTAGAGGCAAAGAAGATGTTGATTAGTAGAGATGCAGTCTTTGATGAAGCATTCTTGCTTAAGTTTTTCTTGATCAAAAGAAGCTCAATTCAGCTGAGAGCAGCAGCAAGAGCCAATGGTGTAGGTGGAGATAGAAAATGTTGACATGGAGATCAATGCTCAGGGAGCAGGCAGTTCTGGCTAAAAAAGAAGCAGTATCACAATATTGTCACAGATAGACCACGTCACAATATCAGGCTACTAACGAAGTATGTATTCGAGGATTCCATTTTTTATGTACTCATCACCAGGAATAATGATCCTATAACTTTTCAGGATGCCGTTGGTAGTCGGGATAAAAATAAATAGATAGAGGCTATGATGGATGAAATTGACTCATTGCTTAAGAATGATACCTGGGATTTGGTGGAGCTTCCAGAGGGGAAAGACCAATAGGGTGTAAGTAGGTGTACAGAAAAAAAGAAACAATGTCAGAAAAGGAAGGGGAAAGATACAAGGCTTGGTTAATAGCTGAGGATTACTCAGGAGGAAGGGAGTAGATTATGACGAGATTTTTTCTCCAGTTGTCGACACACTTCCATCAAGAATTTCTTGGCAATGGTGGGCAGTTTTGATTGGAGTTAGAACAGGTGGATCTGAAGACCACTTTCCTTCATGGTGACTTGGAGAAGAAGATTTTCATGGAGCAGCCAAAAGGGTTCTTGGAACCAGGAACAAAGAATCTTGTGTGTAAGCTAAAAAAGTTTTTACATGAGCTAAAGCAGTTTCCATGACAATGGTACAAGAAGCTCGACTCCTACATGATTCAAATTGGCTACAGCCGCTGTGAGTATGATTGTTGTGTTTACTACAGAGTTGTTGATGATGATTTATATATATTTTTGATGATGTATGTGGATGGCATGCTAATTGCTACTAAGAACATGAATGAGGTAGAAAAATTGAAGTCTTTGTTAAGTAGTAAGTTTGATATGAAAGACTCGGATCGGCTAAGAAGATTCTAGTATAGAGATCAACAGAGATTAGGTAGGCCTGAAAATTATGGGTGTCCCAGTTTGAAGAAAGTGTTGCAAAGATTTAGCATGTCCAATGCAAAACCAATGGTATACCATTGGGGGGGCTATATGTTGGAGATCAATGGTGCAGTCAGTTGTGACATTATCAACGATTGAAGCAGAGTACATGGTGGTAATTGAGGTAGCAAAGGAATTATTGCGGTTGATAGGGTTTTTCAGGGAGCTTGGGATCAAGTAAGATGGAATGAAGCTGTATTGTGATTGTCAGAGTCTCATTTTCTTAGCAAAGAACCAAATTTGTCATGCAAGAACCAAGCACATTAATGTCGTCATTTCGAATCCTCTTGCATTGAACACATGAAAATGGAGAAGGATAACGTGGAATGAGATAAGGCTTAGTAAGTAAAACTTCCATTGTTTCATGTCTATGTTACATTATTAAATGTATAAATGTATTTTCCAAATTTGCTACCATGCGAATACGATATTTGATTATTATGTTTTTTTCATTAATACTTTTTACGATATATTCATAAATGTCAATGCATCCATAAGCATACATTTAAAAAAAAGTTTTCAAATATCAATGAGTCAAGGAATATTTTATTAATGTATGTATATCGCTTTCCAAATATTTTTGTTATGAGGTGTATATCTATGTCATGAAGCTTGTAAGTGAAAAATGGGGCATAGGGAACTGGTGCACCCGACCAATGTTGAATGATGAATGTGCAATGCTAATGTTAATGTTAACCACTTTGTTGTACTACTGGTAGATTTGATTGGGTTCCAAATAACATGGCTACTGCATTCTGATTGGTTAATTGATACACCAAGTAAGCTCACAATGTTAATGTTAAGGTGTTTAAAGAAATGAATGAAGGAGAGGAAATTTGGTTGTTGATGTAGTAGCAGTATTGGAATGAATTGAGGCCAGTGTTGCGCACAATTTTCTTAAAACAGAATCGTCTCCACTATGGTATAAGAAGACTGGTGTTTGTTTCACATGATACAAAGGTTGAAATAACTGACTAGCACCTTGTCACTGCTCCAGGCGAACTCAGAATGCTCACAATTCTATCATTGAGCTCAAAAATAATTATCTAAGCTACAAAGAATAACGCTCGTGAAAGCAAATAGATGAAAGAAAATTAAAGAGAGGAGAGAGCTCTCAAAGTATTTGTTGTAAGGAATAAGAAGAACACCTCCTTATATAGTACTAGGTTGATGAAGGTTTCAATTCTTATTAATTTTTTTTATTAAAACCAAAATGTTACAATATCCATTAGAGCAATATGTTACAATAGCATTGAGGCATTGTAACCACCAATTCAATACAAAATTAACTAGATAATTGAAATTTGAAATAAAAAGCTTGTTGTTACAATTCTTCATTCACATTCATTTTATTTTGAAATTTTTCCAACAATTCCCAAAATGAATTAAGTTAACAACAATGACAGCCAGAAAGACATGGCGATGGAATCTAATGGTCGAAACCTGTATAGGATAGGTATGTGTACCCTTTGAACCTTCCCTTGTATAAGTATGTTTGCTTTATTAGTTGAATAGTAAACATATTGTCCTTGAAGTATTATGCCAATTTTTTAGATGATGACACAGTCCACATAAGCTTCTTCCTAATACAACTCAATTCTCATAGTTATGTTCATTTTAACCATGAACATCTCCCTGGTTTATGAGAGTTTCTAAGGAATTAAGCCCTTGTAATTCCCTTCTGAAGTGGCCCCGCTTCTTTCTCACATAGATGATCTCTTAATTAGGAGTAACATGCATTACTCTGCTCGGATATTCTGAGACATAAGGATCATTAAAAGCTCAGCTTATCCTTTATTCCTTACGAGGTATCACTGTTTTCATCATAGAAAATGGACTCGCATGGTCTTTACAATTAGGATCTCCAGTCAACTAAGTTGGGTTTTCAATGTATCAATATATTCTTTTATTGGCTTTTGTCCCATTCCCATAGATGATTTCTCAACTAAATCTCTATTTAACCCTTTGGTTAGCAGATCTGCAATATTATCCTTTGACTTTACATAGTCAATGGAGATATATCTGGTAAAGATTGGTTGTCTAAAGCTGTTATGTCTTCTACAAATATGTCTTGACTTATCATTATATATGTTGCTCTGTACCTTGCCAATTGCAGATTGACTATCACAATGTCTACATATTGCAGGTACATGCTTTGACCACTTTGGAATATCCTCTAAGAAATGCTGTAGCCATTTTGTTTCTTCCCCACATTTATCCAGTGTGATAAATTCATATTCCATTGTAGATCTAGCTATAACTGTCCACTTCAAAGATTTCCGAGACACAGCTGCACCTTCTAGTGTGAACACGTATCCACCAGTAGACCTTGAGTCTGCTATTTCAAATATCTAGTTGCTTTACTGTATCCTATTAGGACAGTTGGATATCTTGTATAGTCATGTAGCCATAGTTACGAATATCTTATGTACCTCGGTACTCTTACAATTGCTTACAAATGGTCAGCTCCAAGATTATTCGTATATCTAATTAGCTTACTTATTGCATAGGTTATGTCAGGTCTTATGCAACTTATTAAGTATATTAGACTACCAATCACTCTAGAGTACTCTATTTTCAAAATACTTTTTCCTTTATTCTTGAATATATGTACACTTATATCTATTGGTATTTTGGTAACACAAGTGTCATCTTTATTAAATTTTTTAAGAATATTTCCAACATAATATGACTCATTTAAGATTAGCCATAAGATATTTTGGAGATCTTTTTTTTCGTAAGATAAATTCAACTAGTCCTATATCTTTCGTGTCAAATATTGAATTCAATAAATCTTTAGTAGATTTGATCATCCTTTAATTACTATCAACAATGAGCATGTCATCAACGTATAGACATAGAATAACATATCTTTTTTTTTTGGTAAAATATCCTAGCTTGAAAATCCAAGCCTAGGATATGATTTTATTTAAAGAAAATCGATTACAATGCAAAGAGGGGGACATATACCTTACCTCCGAACAAAATTCAACTACTTAACATGTACGAATTGCAAACAAAACAACTACTTAATCCAGATTAAAATACAAAACCTACTAAGCAACAAATCTAATAGATTCCATACCTATTCTATCCAGCTTCACGATTCCATTGATTCTTCCTTTGAACTCATTAGCATCCATCAGACCATATCTTTTTTCACAGTATCCTCTAGCAGCAAACCAATCAGCAGCTTGGTTCCCTTCCCTCCAGGTGTGAGACAGTTTATACTCCATATTCTCCAAGATTTCTCTAATAGATTGAAGAGTATATTGCACTCCCCAAGGTCCATTATTTTGATTAATCAGTGTTATAGACGTCTTAGAATCAGTTTCAATCCACACTCTCCTGTATCCTTGTGTCCAGCATAATTTCAGCCCCGTTTCTATCGCTCTAAGTTCTGCTTCCAGTATCGAGCATTCACCATAATACTCATAAAATCCCCATATTGGATCCCCCAGGTTGTTCCTCAATAATCCACCTCCTGCAGCCAATTCATTTCCTTTCAATGCCCCATCCGTATTAAGTTTGAACCAGTCTACCTCTGGTTTAATCCACTTGACAGCTATGGGTTTATTCCTCTTGCTTCTCCCATTTTGTTTGATCCTACCAGCTCGTATAAGGGCGTTAATCAGAATGTAGACTTGCTTGATGATTCTATCAGTCCTTATATTATAGTGATCATGTTTGGCTTTATTTCTGGCCATCCAAAGGAACCAGATAATCACCATTGGACTCACATTTCTAATTTCTCCAGTATTAGCTTCCTTTTGCAGAAACCAGTGTATAAGCATTGACCTTGGATGCCCACATTTGATTTCCTGGACATTCATAGCCCTGCTAAAGTGAGACCAGACTTCCCTAGCTACCCTTCCTTCCAAAAAAACATGAGTAATGCTCTCAGTATTACAACAACATTGGCATTTTGAAGCTAGTTGAATACCCAATTTTCTCTGTATAATATCATCAACTGGCAACTAGTCATGCCATATTCTCCAACCTAAAAAGGCAATTTTTTGAGGGATACTCTTATCCCAGATATGTTTGTATGCCATTTGTCTTGTTTTACTCTGTCTGAACAGCTGTATACACGAGGTGATAGAAAAAATTCCAGATGCGTTAGGTTTCCAAAACATTTTATCAGTAGCCTTAGTGATCGAGATCTGCACTATTTCATTAACCACTTCACTAGGCAATATGGTGTTCAGAGTATTAATATTCCATCCGTTATCAGTCTTGAATTCCATTACTAATTTCTCTTGGTGTATAGAATAACATATCTATTCTCAGTGTATTTGATATAAATACATTTGTTGCATTCGTTGATTTTAAATCTACTTAGCACTAATGCTATTGTTTTGGTGCTTGTTTTAAACAATACAAGGATTTCACCAATTTAAAGACTTTTTTCTTGTCCAAGTATAGTAAAACCCTCATGTTGTTATGTGCAGATTTCTTTATCCAAATCTCCATTTACAAAAACTGTTTTCACATCCATTTGATCTACTTCAATATTGCGCATGGCAGCAATTGCTAGTACCATCCTTATGCAATTTGCTCACATAAGCATTGATGAACCTGCAGGAGTGATTTATCCAAGACCAGGATGAAGCTTGGGTGAAAGTAAGTGGGAGTCAGAACCGACTGATGGCTGGGGAGCTCTTAGCGAGGAGACCTTAGGATAAGTTGCTAAAACTAACGGGGGAGAGGAGGATTGACATGTTCAGTAGAATTTCAAAGAAAGAGCGATTCTCATTACAAGCGAATATGTATCAAAGTAGTCTAGATTTTCTTGTTTTCTATAACTTTTAATTATAAGCCTCGCCTTGGATTTTTCAATTGATCTATCTGCTTTCATCTTCCTCTTGAAAATCCGCTTGAATCCTAGAGATTTACACCTAGGGGAAAGATCCACTAACTACCAAACGTGATTTTATAGTATGGAATCAAATTCACTCTTAATGGCCTACTTCCACAAAGCTCCTTTAATAGAGCTTACTGCCTCTTTAAAAGTTTGATGTTCGCTTTCTTATGTTAAAAAATCTGGACCAAAAGATTTTTCTATCCTTGCTCGTTTGCTACGTTTAAGTTCATCTTGAATCTCTTCATTTTCTTTGTGTTCTTTATCCTGACTATACTCATTTATAGTCCCAAATGTTCGTTTTGACGAACTTGGTCCTTCTTTAGACTTACAAGGAAATACATATCCAAAGGATGACACATTTCTTGATTCTATTATCGTGTTTGTGTGTGAGTGGAAATTCATCGCAGTCAATTCCTATGATAAAAATAGTGATACTGTAAAGAATAAAGGATAAGCTAAGTTTTTAATAATCCTAATGCGTCAAAATATTCAAGTGGCGTAATGCGAGTTCCTCTTAATTAAGAGATTACCTATGTGAGAAAGAAGTGGAGCCGTTTCAAAGGGGAAATACAAGGGCTTAATTCCTTAGAAACTCTCACAGGACTAGTACGATGCCAAAGTGAATATAATTATAAGAACTGAACTATGTTTGGAAGAAACCTATGTGGAGTGTGTCATCATTTACACAAATGACAGAGTAGTTCAAGGACATCATGTCATTGATCAGCTAGTAAAGTAAACATGCTTACACAAGTGAAGGTTCAAATGGTAACACCACAAATCTAGAAACTCAGAACAAATAAGTGCATGTATTAATTATCTTTTTAAAACATAAATACTGAAATTAAATAAAATTAATTATGATCTTAATAGATATCATAAATTGCAAAATAATAAATTTCCAAACAATTTTGTAAGATAAAATACATGGTCTGAAATGATTTATTCATAATAATAACAATTCTCAAAAGTTTCAAATTATTAATTTAGAATATAACTGGAATATCTAGTCTGGGACAATACTGAGCCCATCTCGCCTCAGGCAGTTGTGTCGCATCACCTAGCTCTCATTATCTAGGAATTCGTAATGCAACACTCTTATTTGTCAATATTATCATGTCATTTAGATTATGTATTAATATTGCATTTACTATTTAATTTATATGACTCTCTTTATCGTGACTAACTATAATTTTTACGGCGGAATGTGCTTTAGAACCCTAGACGATTGATGTGCCATTAGTTTAAATCTAAAATAATAATATTAATAATAATATTTGAACAAAATTAAATGATTTTAAACTGGTAAAGTAAACTAAATGATTTTAAATAAGTAAAAAGAGATAAATAACGAGCCTTTAAGGTTAGGTAGCATAAATTTGGTCTAATTACATGTGATTAAATTTGAAATAAAATTCATACCTAATTTGTTGACCTCCACGCTGTTAAATGTTGACTCCACCATTATTAGTGATGGCAACGGGACGGGTTCATGGCGGGGCCCCCCTCCATGCCACCCCCGTGCCCCGCCCCTCCTAGACTCGGGGCGGGGCCCGTTTCCTACCCCGTTTGTTAGTTTTTTTATTTTCAGTTAAAATACAAATTTTAAAATTTTAAAATTCAAAACAAATAATGTTCAAACTAACTATATCAATATCCAAAGCAAGCGCTCGAAACAAAAAATGTCAAAAACAATTTTTTTTTTAATTCTTCACGGGATGGGTTCGAGGCGGAGCATCTCCACCCCCACCCCGCCCCGCCAACCAGTTCGGGGCCGGGTCCCACGGGGACGGGACGGGGAAAATTGTCATCTTTAACCATTATAACATAATACTCATTCTATGCCTCCATTATGAGAATTATGAATTCGTTAAGCTACAAAATTTTTATAGTATTTTATTCAATTGTTGAAAATTTATATTCAAAAGTAATCATTACATTCCAATTTATTTACAATAGAATATTATTTTTATTTCATATTGATAAAATAGCATACTAGTTATTTTCGTAGACTATACGTGGTATGAATTTTTAATAGTGTTTTATCTAATTGTTGAATTTTTTATTCAAAAGTAATCACGACATTTCAATTTATTTGTAATAAAATAATATTTTTTAATTTTATCTAATTTTATGTTCTAAAAAGTTTAATGCTTACACTTATTAGTTTAGGGTTTCTAGATTTTTGGTCATTACATTATCATTGTCAACATCCTTCTCATCATCACAACTATCAACAGATCAAGATTGTGCATTATTAGCATAAATTGCTAGTAAAACTAGGGAAAGATCAAAGAAGAAGGAGGCTCGATTTCAACGTAGATAGTTTGCAA